TACACCATGCAACAAAACGTACTTTGTTTTCAGCTTCTTTGTATCCTGGTCTGGTAATATGAGTTTTATTTCAAACTTGTACGGTACTTACAATTAAATTGACAATGGTTGCCGTGACAGCGTTATGAAGTATAATTGCTGTCAACAGATTTCACGACCATTACTTTGTATAGCGCTAATTCACACATTGTCTTTGTTTAAATATAAACCAAAAATCCTCGCTGGGGTTTATACTTCAGCTGTAGGCCCTATATCCCAATCTTATACAATACTTTATAAAAAAAAATGCTTTCCCTTTTTCAAAGTGAGAATGTTATAAAGCTAAGATATGGTTTAAATAAACTTAGCAAGAACATTCAGGCTAAGAGAGGGGAGACAAAAAAGATAATGTCCTTTCCTCATTTCGCTTAACTTTCTTGGGTCAACACGGTTACCTCCTTCTTCGTGGCATAATAAAATCAATCTAATGCATGGTCTAGTACACCTTGACATCATACCAATAACATACATCTTTATGTACACCACGACAACACTCATATACATCTCACTATACACCATAACACCAATCGCATACATCTTTCTCTACACCATAACACCAATCGCATACATCTTTCTCTACACCATAACACCAATCGCATACATCTTTCTCTACACCATAACACCAATCTCATACATCTTCCTATATACCATAACACCAATCGCATACACCTTTCTCTACACCATAACACCAATCGCATACATCTTCTTATACACCATAACACCAACCGCATACATCTTCTTATACACCATAACACCAATCTCATACATCATTTTGTTCACCATTACACCAATCTGATTCATCTTATCTACTCCATACCACCAATTCCATACATCCTCTGGCACAGCATAACATCAATCTCATAAATCTTCATATACACCATGACATAATACAAATCTCATACATCTTTATTATACACCATGACATAAAACCAATCTTATATATCATTATACACCATGACATAATACAAATCTCATACATCTTTATTATACACCATGACATAAAACCAATCTCATATATCATTATACACCATGATATAATACAAATCTCATACATCTTTATTATACACCATGACATAAAACCAATCTCATATATCATTATACACCATGATATAATACAAATCTCATAATAACATGACATAACGCCAATCCCCTACATCTATCTGTACACCATGACACCAATCCTGTACAGACATAACACCACCATCTTCACACAACCCGTGGTGTGGTAACACAAATCTTCATCATCTCCACATTTACCATCAGATGTAAGCAACAACAACTAGATCTAACTTTTATATTATAAATCAAATCAGAAACGAATGCAATGGTTCGACACACATTATCATAATGCTGAACATAACAAACGTTACACCAAGTGGGTGTTCACTTCCTCCTTTTCATTGAGTTTTTTGTTTACTTTATTCTTCCAAGAATTCCTTTTTGCTATTTTAAAACCATACAAATTGTAATTTATTTTTTTTTACTTTTTTATCTTTTTAAAAAATAAAAACAGGCAAGCTACTTACATTTATGTTTACCATTATTTACACTCATGTCGCTTTTAGCTTCTTTTCCATTTTTTTTCTTGTACAGCAGTTAATGTTCGCATTAGTGTTTAATGCTTATTAATCTAGAATTTCAAAATCGTGACACAACTGTAGATTTTATTATTTTTTTTTTGCGGTGCGTGTTACTGTTACGTCTGGGTTTGGTTCAACTCAGGAAACGATTCGTGGTTAACTTCAATACTTTTATTTGGACTCAATTCTTCACATAACAGAGTAGCCCTCGCCCTAACTGCTACCAACTAACCCCTTGACAACCATTCACTCCAGCGTTTATACCGCATTCGACCTTGGGATAACAATACATAAACACACCGGGGTTAACAATACTCTAGGATAAACTCAACTCACACAAAATTCTAGATTATTCTAACCTATTTCTATCTAATCTACAACTGACCCGTAACAGTTACAAACTTGAAATAATATCCTGTAAAATTACAAATGCCTTCTACAACATTATGCATATGCCAATCAAACGATTCCACTTTTTTGGCTTCTCCTGAGAGACAGTTGAACTCTACTACCCCTGCTGCTGTGTGTGGCTTTAATCTAACATTAAATAAACATTAGCTTCGCCTCTGTCGGATTTTAAACGGTTTTTTTTTTCAATATTATTTCTTAAGGTGACGTCTTCAATAGGGCTGGTAAGTAGGTCACCAACCAGTTCTATGGCTCATGCAGGTTTTATTGAACTGGTTGGTGACCTACTTACAAGCCCTATTAACGTCACGTTTCTTGACGGGGTTTTGTGTTACTCCTCCCCAACGTCACACGTCGTCACAAACAGCCAGACCCTCGCATCTTTATACAGTCACAGCTCAGCCTACAACTCAATCACCCGTAAAATCTGCAGTTTTTGTTGTGTTAAAACATCGATTTTTTAAAATATATATTCTCTGTTCCGGTCAAAATCAAGTATAAATTAATCAATTTTTTACAAAAACACTTACATTACTTTTTAAATACCAAAGTGTGTCGTCACTTTTTGAACCACCCCAAACCTTGTCACATATCATCACAAAACTCCGAACCCCACCCCTCCACCTAGTAGTTTTAACGTCAAACCTCTAACTACAACAAACTTGTGATATATTTTGTATTGGTTTAACATGGTTATTGAAATACGGTATAAATTAATCGACAATATTGTATTGGTTTAACATGGTTACTGAAATACGGTATAAATTAATCGACACTATTTCTTCTGAGATCACCCTGTGCTATATTGTCATACTACCAAACTAGAAAACTTGTTTTATTTTGTTCGGTTTTTTTTTAATCATTCACACTGTGGAGCAGACCAAAGTCACACATTTACAAACATTCTGGGTAGGCTTTCCATGATATTTGTTGTTATTGTTTTTTTTACTATTAATAACAATTTGGATATTCTTATAGTACTTTAATGTGTTCAATTAGCGGGCTATTACTAATTATTTTAATTAATTATTTTAACTTTTTGTATCTTTATGAACTTAAATAATGAAAGCATATAGAACATAAATTTTACAAAATATCTTCAGCTTAGAAACTTATTTTTAAATCATTTAAAATGAATGCCTGTGACATAAATCATCTAAAATGACTGTTTGTTCAATAAATCATCTAAAATGAATTTCTGTGCAATAAATCATCTAAAATGACTGTTTGTTCAATAAATCATCTAAAATGACTTTCTGTGACATAAATTATCTAAAATGACTGTCTGTTCAATAAATCATCTAAAATGACTTTCTGTGACATAAATTATCTAAAATGACTGTCTGTTCAATAAATCATCTAAAATGACTGTTTGTTCAATAAATCATCTAAAATGACTGTCTGTTCAATAAATCATCTAAAATGACTTTCTGTGCAATAAATCATCTAAAATGACTGTTTGTTCAATAAATCATCTAAAATGACTGTTTGTTCAATAAATCATCTAAAATGACTTTCTGTGCAATAAATCATCTAAAATGACTGTTTGTTCAATAAATCATCTTAAATGACTATTTGTCCAATAAATCATATAAAATGACTGCCTGTTCAATAAATCATCTAAAATGACTGCCTGTGACATTAAGCATCTAAAATGACATTTTGTGACATAAATCATCTAAAATGACTGCCTGTTCAATAAATCATCTAAAATGACTGCCTGTTCAATAAATCATCTAAAATGACTGCCTGTTCAATAAATCATCTAAAATGACTGCCTGTTCAATAAATCATCTAAAATGACTGTTCAATAAATCATCTTAAATGACTGTTTGTTCAATAAATCATCTAAAATGACTTTCTGTGACATAAATCATCTAAAATGACTGCCTGTGACATAAATCATCTAAAATGACTGTTCAATAAATCATCTAAAATGCCTGTTCAATAAATCATCTAAAATGCCTGTTCAATAAATCATCTAAAATGCCTGTTCAATAAATCATCTAAAATGACTGTCTGTCACATAAATCATCTAAAATGACTGTCTGTCACATAAATCATCTAAAATGACTGTTCAATAAATCATCTAAAATGCCTGTTCAATAAATCATCTAAAATGACTGCCTGTGACATAAAGCGTGCTATCATGTTCTACCTGACACACACACACAATCTTCTTGATATGGACGTTTGAAGTCTACGTTTATTTTTATTTTTATTTCTGTTGATGAATTAACACATACTGTTAATGTAATAGTTTTGCTAAAATCCTTTATTTTTGCACGGTGATATGGTGAAAGTTTTAAAATATAATTGAGTTTATTGTTTGTGTTTTATTTTTAGTATTATTTCATATGTATTTAATTGTGTTTTAATCTTAATTAAAGTTTGATTACGTTTTAATACAAGATTTGCATTCTATATTGGCGGTAGAGAGTCAGACTGCTAACCTGAGAGTCTCTAGCTTGAATCCGGGTTTAAATCAGTGGAACGTCACTGAGTCCACCCAGCTCTGATGGGTACCTAGCTCACGTTAGGAAAACAAAGACTGATGGGCATAGTGCTGACCACGCTATCCTTTCATACGCTGAGGCAGATGAACTCTACTTCATCTTCCCCATGCGCTTTAGGCACGAACGGAAAATGGTGATATCCATTAGTATGTTATTGAGAAATAAGAGAAATTTAAAGTTGCTGAGCATTGATTCTATTTATACACCTGCTATGTCCCGGTACTTTCGTCTTGTTTGGGTGTTTAGTTTACACAGAAAGTCTTATTTGGCTTTTTACAAACAAATCTTTTAATTTTTTTTTTGCCGGTCACAAAGTGCCTTAGACCGATGATAGGTATTATTTTTTAGGGAGTTGACAATTTTAACAGGAAAAATTAAATAACAAACATTACAACCTCACATTGAAATTATTCAATTTCGTTGTCAACATTTTTAATTAAAACAAAACAAAAAAAAATAGTTTTTAACTTTTATTTGATTTATCTAAAATCATTTAGAAATTAGAAAAAAAAAGTACACGAAGATAAGATAAAGGTACAAGGCTTGATTAACTCACATACACCGCTAAAGCGTAGTGATCCTTAATCGTTCTGTACCTTAGTACTTGTCTCCCTTTAACGGTGTGATCGTTGTAAGGGGAAGTAAGTATCATCAATGTTTACGAACCTTCATCTCGACAAAATCCAGCGAGTTATTCCACTCCGTGATGTCGGCCCAGATGACCCCCTTGTCCACCTCCTGGCTCCTCCACCTCCCGTTGAGGTTCACCGACAGGCAGTTATCAAACCACCACCCCCCGGCACCCCTCCAGTCCGCGCAGCTGTAGTTATCCACGCCGTTGGAGCGGTCGTAGGTGACGAAGATGTGGTTGTTTTGTTCCTTGAAGTTGTCGCGGACGCTCGCCCTGAACGGGGTGAGCTTCAGCTTGTATAAGGAATTCTCGTTGCCGACATGAAAGTCCACGTACGAGGCGTAGTATTTTCTGTTCTGTAACTTCATGTCGATTCTCAAATGGTTGTAACCCTACAGGGGAAAAAAGGGAATTAACTCTTAAAGGAACGTATTTAAGTTTAGCACAGCTGTTTAAAAACAGCGATCTTTAACAAAATTCTTCCTTCTGATCCATGTATATATATATATATATATATATATATATATATATATATATATATATATATATATATATATATATATATATATATATATATTGTATCCCATTTGGAGGTTAGAAGCCTATCCGGATATATTAAGTGATTCAGTAAATAGGTTTACACTGAGTCCATCTTATATAGAAGTGATAGTTTATTGTTACACCAAAACGTTACAGTGTTTCTTCCAGATTTTTTTCTCCGGGGGGGGGGAGGGGGTGGGACTAAATGTTCCGAGGGGGGACTGGTAAAAGTATATATTTACTAATAAATTCGATTTCTTTCGGCGGGGGAAGGGGCGGTATACTTTCTTCGGGCTTAGCCCCCACCCCCCACCCTAAGAGGTGCCTGGAAGAAACTCTGAACCTTTAGATATAGAACTGTATTAAGGCCACAGATTCGCGATAATGTTATAACGTTGGAATGAAAAATTGCGGACAAGAGGGTGAGGAAATTGTCAAACTAAATCTGTGAAATCTTGATAACCGAATATATTAGAACATCTAGCATGACGATTGTGTTTAGATATTGGTTAGAAAAAAAATGTGAAACATGGAAATAGAAATTGTTGGAAGTTCTGTGTTGACGATTGTGTTACTTGAACTTAAAATGTGTTGAGAGAAATACTGCTGTGTTAAATGGCACATGAAATTGATAGGTGCTAGATGTGTTTAAATTATTTGTTGTAACCATTATTGTAATATGTCTTACTACCCAACAAAAATTTGACACGCCATACTACTCTATATAAATTTAATACGTCGGACTAACTTTTAAAGATGTAATACGTCTAACACAACATAGCACGGATTATGTAACTTACACAACATCTTTGTTATTGTCCGAAGATAAACCATCTGAACGAAATATCTTACACATCACACTGGTTACATCATTAATTCCAGCCTACACACCTTACACTAGACATACAACTTTCGAATCATCTAGATCTGCCACGACACCAGATTTTTTTCTCCGGGGGGGGGGAGGGGCACTTGAAATTTTCGAGGGTCTGACACTGTTAAAAGTATATATTTTCTATATAAATTCCATTTCGTTCGGGGGGGGGGGGGGCGCCCCGAAGATATGCCTAGAAGAAACTCTGCACGACGCACATGAAGACAGAACGTATACTTACCAGGGTGGTAAGGAGGCTGATGAAATCGTTCCCCATCCAAAAATCTCCAAACAAAGATCCAAATCCCATCTTGTAGTCGTTCCAGTTTCTAGTGAAGTTGGTGTCGCCGTAGGCTCGTCGCTACGTCATCAAACACGTCATCAAACACGTCATCAAACATAAGAGTTGGGTTGGTGGTGAAGATATGGAAAGAGTTTTACAAGATACTCTAATGCTTACAAATACTAGTATCCCCACCCCCATCAAACAATCAAACATCTACAAACACTAGTTGGTAGCAGAGGCGTAGCGACCCTTCCCGGCGCCCGGGGACAAACTTTCGATTTGCACCCCTCTCGAACTTTTGATTTACACCCCCCCCCCCCTCAAACTTTCGATTTACCCCCCCCCCCCCTCCTCGAAATTTTTGATTTGCACCCCCCCCCCCCTCAAACTTTCAATTTGTTTTTCCAACCCATTTTGGCGCCCCCCTAAGGTCGGCGCCCGGGGATATATGTCCCCCCCTTGCCCCTCCCCCTCGCTACGCCTCTGGCTGGTAGCCGCCATCACTCACCTGTATAACAATCCAACCACCTTTATCGGTCTTTGTGTCACATAGAACGTCTTTACCTAATCCAAGGTCAACCACCGAATGGCTCGGCATATGTAAGGTAGAGTCGTGCGTCTTACACAGGCGCTCCTGTAAGCAGAGAAGATTACATATGGCATGTGTAAGGTAGAGTCGTGAGTCTTACACAGGCGCTCCTGTAAGCAGACAAGATTACATATGACATGTGTAAGGTAGAGTCGTGAGTCTTACACAGGCGCTCCTGTAAGCAGACAAGATTACATATAGCATGTGTAAGGTAGAGTCGTGAGTCTTACACAGGCGCTCCTGTAAGCAGGCAAGATTACATATGACATGTGTAAGGTAGAGTCGTGAGTCTTACACAGGCGCTCCTGTAAGCAGACAAGATTACATATGACATGTGTAAGGTAGAGTCGTGAGTCTTACACAGGCGCTCCTGTAAGCAGACAAGATTACATATGACATGTGTAAGTTAGAGTCGTGAGTCTTACACAGGCGCTCCTGTAAGCACACAAGATTACATATGACATGTGTAAGGTAGAGTTGTGAGTCTTACACGCGCGCTCCTGTAAGCAGAGAAGATTACATATGGCATGTGTAAGTTAGAGTCGTGAGTCTTACACAGGCGCTCATGTAAGCAGACAAGATTACATATGGCATGTGTAATTTGCTTACATATGAAGGATCATATTTACACATTTATAGTGTGTTATGTTTTTATAATACGGTAAAGCGAATTTATTGAGCTCGGTTAGTAAACACCTATCAAATATCAAGAATTTTAACTGTACAACTTTTAGTGCATGTTACTGGCTTAATATAAATTAGTTTTGTAATTTATTACTTTAGAAAAGTATTTAAAGTTTTTTTTTCTACGTTAACTTAGAAGAAGTAGGCTACAGTTTAAAGTGTGACTAACTTTTTAAAGTCTATTTAACTCGTGAATTTTAGACAAAAGAGGTCATCCATAAATGACGTCACACGTTATTTTGTGACGATGTGTGATGAGGGGGGGGGGGGGGTTCAGATGGTGCGGCGTCACATTTTTGCATTATAAAAAAGCAATGTTTGAAAACGAATTTTAGACGTTATTTCGCGTTTTAGATAACTGTTTTAATAAATTGTAATAGTTTAGGCAAGATTTTGGAAAAATATCGATGTTTAAAAAAAATTCAACTGCAAATTTGAGGGGGGGTTGTAGGTTGACGTATGACGTCATTTTAGGGGGGGGGGTCTGGCTTTTTGTGACGACATGTGACGGAGGGGAGGGGGGAGGTAAAAATCGTCCAAAAAAAGCGTGACGTCATTTATGGATGACCCCAAATGAAAATTTATAAACTTTCCCCTTTCCATGGCTTTCATACTTTCATTGTTATTTTATTTGTGGGGTAGTTAAAATGTGTCCTTACAGTTTCGATAGTTTTTCGATACATATTGTATGTGTAGTAGTTAAAATGTGTGCTTACAGTTTTGATGATTTTTACTGTAATTTATAAGTGATAGTTAAAATATGTGCTAAAGTTAAAGGACTCTAAATTAAATGTGTGCCCGTTAAAATGTGTTTTTACAGTTTCGATTGTTTTCAATATATATTGTATGTGTAATAGTTCAAATGTGTGCCTAAAGTTTCGATAGTTTTCAAAACATATTTTATGTGAAATAATTTAAATGTGTGCCTACAGCTTCGATAGTTTTCAAAACATATTATATGTGTAATAGTTCAAATGTAAGCTTACCGTTTCGATGGATCTCAAAAGATCATTATTGGGAGACAGACCCCTCATTTCTTCCACCGCCCTTCTCATATCCGCCAACGCCCTGTCTGTTTTCGCCAAGGACTGCTGCTGTGCCGAGGTGACTTGCTGTAGCGTGTTAGACAGGGAGTCTAGCCTGTCGTTAAACTTGGAGTAGGTTCCCTTGGCGTCCGTCGACAATTTCTCCAACTCTGCAGACAGAGTATGCAGGGTGTTGCTGAAAAACTCATCCCCTTGGTCACGTCTTGACCCTCCGTCTGCGCCATCCGAACCGTCGTCTTGAGTCCGGTTCGTTCCGTGTAAACTCCTACGTCTTTTGAAGCCATGTCTTTGGGTTTCTTTATCTGAGTTGGAGTTTGAAGACGGCATTACGTTTTCTTTCTTATACCCTACATCTCCGACACCGTCATAGCTGGAAGACTTTGATAAAGATAAAGATACGTTTTCTATCTGTATGATCGCTCCTGTTGTATCTAAAATTGAAGCTTGGCACCCAAAAGTCGAATACGAACAGTTTATCACCGGGCGTATGACCAACGAGATCTCGCTGGAAGATTTCGAGATTTTCCCCGAGATTTCTGTTGCCGCTAAGTTGTGGGTTTTAGCTACTGGGTTATCAAGTGCAATGGACGTGAGGAACACCTTCCCGGTATTTTCTGTGTACGTGAAAGCATTCAAGCTGACGATAGCCGAGAAGTTGGGTTTGCGAGTGATGTCTTCCATACAACGTAGCCGCCCGCAGAAACTCTCACTTCCTTTAACGAATGTCTCTCTTTTGACATCAAGTTCAAGGCCTGGAACACATATATTTTTTTAAAAAACACATACATTTAACTAAGTTAAAATATTTAATTTTTTTAACAAGTGTCTTTATAAGCTTTTTTATTTAACTTAAGTCTTCATCCTGTATAGATCGAAACGGCCAAGCGAAATTTTGAGCACTTCTAACCGATTTTCTTAAATAGTAGTAAAAGAATCCAATAGAAATATAGTGACCCACACTTTTCTGTATAGCAATTTAATTAGTAGTGTTTTATTATATATTTAAAGAAAATAATATTTTCTCCTTTTAGTTCTTTATTACATAAAAACAGAGCCATTGAACGTTTTTATGTAATTTTTGTAAACTAAAAATCTTTATAAACCAAACGAAATTATTGCAGTGTTTCAATCAGTGTTTCTTCCAGACTTTTTTCTCCGGGGGGGCACTTGAAATTTTCGGGGGGGCGGTAGACTTTCTTCGGGGGGGGCGGACACTGTTAAAAGCATAAATTTTCTATATAAATTATATAAATTTCATTTCGTTCGGGGGGGGGCGGTAAAAAATTTTCGGGGGGGGGGGGCTTTGCCCCCCCGAAGAGATGCCTGGAAGAAACTCTGGTTTCAATATCGAATTTTAGACTCATTAAGGAATCGGCGTAGTCGGGCTGTTAGTGATCATGTTTGCTAAACTTAAAAGTCCCGAGTTCGAACCACAGGGTAGATGGGGCTCGATAGCATGGGACAGCAACATATCTAGGAGAGACAACTTCAAATCAAACAACGACTGCCTTGAAGTTTGTTCTTGGATAGACAAGGGGTGTGGAAGAAATTCCAAAAAGAAAAATAGGCTGATAAATAGGCGCATAACACGTTGACACGCACTACTTAATTGTGTTGGGGTAATTCGCTTCCGAAATTTAAAAAATTAACTACACAGCAGAAAAAGACTCAATGAGACTAGTGTGTAGCCTAAGGTAGCGGCTTATGTATTAGGTTGGGTTGGTTTTATGGTGCTCAATTTTCTTTTTCTATCGGGCGGATTACGCAGATGTATAAAAAATATTTTTTGTGGATTTTCTGATTAACAAGTTTATTATAAGTTTAAAGAAGTCAGATTAAAAATTGCACAGTCACACTGGCCGACAAACTAGGCGATAAACTAACTATAACACTAGTCGTCACACTAACATTTAACACAAACCGTCAAGGTAGTCGTCACACTAACATGTAACACAAACCGTCAAGGTAGTCGCCACACTAACATGTAACACAAACCGTCAAGGTAGTCGTCACACTAACATGTAACACAAACCGTCAAGGTAGTCGTCACACTAACATGTAACACAAACCGTCAAGGAAGTCGTCACACTAACATGTAACACAAACCGTCAAGGTAGTCGTCACACTCACATGTAACACAAACCGTCAAGGTAGTCGTCACACTAACATGTAACACAAACCGTCAAGGTAGTCGTCACACTAACATGTAACACAAACCGTCAAGGTAGTCGTCACACTAACATGTAACACAAACCGTCAAGGTAGTCGTCACACTAACATGTAACACAAACCGTCAAGAAAGTCGTCACACTAACATGTAACACAAACCGTCAAGGTAGTCGTCAAACTAACATGTAACACAAACCGTCAAGGTAGTCGTCACACTAACATGTAACACAAACCGTCAAGGTAGTCGTCACACTAACATGTAACACAAACCGTCAAGGAAGTCGTCTAACTAACTGTCACAAACCGCAACAATCCATCACATAAATCGTCACAAAAACCTTCACATGCCGTCACAAACTATCACACTAACCGTCACACAAACCGTAACACAAACCGTCACACAAACCGTCACACAAACACTACTCACCAAGTGTAAACGCCACACTCACGGCTAGCAGAGCCACAACAACAAAAGCAGCCATTGATGAAGCCTCTAGTCTTCCATACAGCTCCAAGAACCTATTGAGATAACTCTCGCTTACAGCTTCTACTTATACCTTCAGTTTCTTCCCTTTTAATCCCTCAAATGTTGAGGGGAAAAAGGGGAAGGGCAGGGATGGTTGTCACATAATTAGCTGGGATGTATTTTTAATGTTACGATTCTTAAGAAAAACAAAACATTGCATTGCGATCGTCAACATTCGTGATAATATTTTTAACCACGCCCGTTTCACTATACATCCATAGTTTCATTTTTAAAAATTCATTAAGCTTTTCCAATTAACCTTCTGAAACAAAAGTTATTTATTTATAATTTGTCCATTATCTCTTGGACGTATTTTTTCAGGGATAAAAAAAACTATTACCCCGTAAAGAGTGGGCCGATGTGTCGTGTTGGAAAAACGAGTTACGTAGCCTCCACAAGGCGTGGTACAAAGGGACTAGCTGATGGGGTAATCAAAACATCTGTCGTTAATTAATTAAATGAACACCAGCAACCATACAAACAAGGTGGACGAATGATTGATTATAAAATAACAGTTGCAAATTTACATTCGTTAATTAAAAAGGTGGAGCGTTTAACAGTGGCGTTGGTAGGTCGGGTGTCACCCGGTGCGGCACCCCAAGGTGTAACTCCCACCCCCCCCCCACAAAAAAAGTATAGACCACACACACACACACACACACAAATTCAACAAAACTTTTTTTTTCCTCTGTAAATTTTTGCAGTTGGTGTCACCCCCCTCCCCCATTGGTTGATAGATTTAAAGTGTGGAGAGTTAAGAGTAACGAAGTTTATCTACAGTCGGTTGTTAATAAAGCCAAATGTAGCATTGTTATCTCTATAGTTAGCAGGTTTTAGTCATAGTGTAGAACATACGCGCCCCCCCCCCCCCCCCCCCCATTGTCGGGAGCGTTAATTCGTACCTAAAAGACTTTTTTTTAACTATAATTAATCATTAACTAAAGAGACAAAAATATTGTTCTTCTATATATTTTGCTATTTTTTTGCCTTCGTGTCACCCCCTAAGTGGTGTCATCCGGTGCAATCCACACCCCACCCCCCACACACCCCCCCCCCCACCACGCGACACCTCTGGCGTTTAAGACTGTTTGTATTCTGGTTTGGGAGTTGCCAGAGACGGAGATTCTACTTATATGGGAGATCACTCTATTTTCCACGCCTTGTTTGTTAATAGGTTATTTAAGTAGAAGGCTAGGCGGAGCTCATTTTTACTTTCTCGTCTATACGAGATATAGAGAAAGTCTTGTAATCGAATATAAAAATCGAGATTTTTACAAATTTCGACGTTTTACACCTCACTGATACGGAAAAACATAGTTTTGCAATCTTGTCCGTATGTCTGTGTGTGTGTGTGTATGTGTGTGTCTGTGTCTGTGTGTGTGTGTGCTGTAAACACGATAACTTGAGTACCGTTACAGCTACGTTGATGAAATTTCATATATAAGTATTATATCAAACTCGTAGATCCGTATCAACTTTTGAGCGATTTCCAATAACCGGAAGTGGAACTTTTTCTACTTTCAATTTTTTTAAAAGCCTATTACTTGAGTACTATTTCGGATAGATAAATAAAATTTCACATGTAAGTAAAAGATTTAATTTTCTTCCATCTTTCAAATTTTGAGTAATTTTCGTTGATCGGAAGTAGTAATTTACGCTATTTCCGATTTCCTAAAAAAAAACATGTGAATCAAAAAGTACTAATAATATTCCGCACTATTATATACATTTTGTTTGGCGTTCAGTTGGTGTGCAATTCTTTTTTCTACGAGATTCTATTCTATTTTTAAAAGTTTGAATAATTAAAAATGGATTAAAAGTCATGTATATATCCATAGTTGCCATCCCCCGTTGAATTTTGAAAATTCGGGAAAGTTTAGAGGAGATCACTCCCGGTTTATTTCGTACATTTTGGTAACTAAACAATTTTTTTTTCCAAAAAAAAAAGGAAAAATTATTTGTTCATCCTTTTTTCTCAGAAACTATAAAAAAAAATGGCAGGACTATGTCACGTGGTTTATAAACATAATTTTATTAAAAAACTTTATCAGCGACGTGAGCAGAACAAATAAAATTAAGTGGGGTTCCTGTACAGCCAATCAATGTTTATCTTACGAAAGTGAAACCTTAGTTTATAACTTTGATTTGAGGAAAATGATTAGAAATGTAGCCTTAAACTCAAAAACAAATTTACAATTTCTCTGGATTTGCTACTTTTATAACATTGATTCTAAAAATATTAAAATTCAGAAAAAAATGTCAGGTTTTTTTATTATTTTATTTTTTTTTATTTATTTTTTTTGTACGGTCACTGTGATGCAGTAGTGTAGCGAGGGTGGAGGGCGGGGGGGGGGACATATGTCCCCGGGCGCCGACCATAGGGGGCGCCAAAATGGGTTGAAAAAATAAATTGAAAGATTGATAGGGGGGTGCAATTCGAAATCTCGAGGGGGGTGCAAATCGAAATCGTGAGAAGGGTGCAAATCGAAAAGTTTGTCCCCGGGCGCCGGGAAGGGTCGCTACGCCTCTGCTGTGATGTCAAAAATTCAAATTAAAAAAAAAAACCACAGGACTTTTATCCACGTCAACAATAATGACGTAACAATTCTCGTCAACTCGGTGATGTCCATTTAATTAATGAAGCTCGGTTATTATTTAACACAGCATGCGGCTCTTTTGGTGTCGAGATGTGGCTCTTCAACTCCATTCGCAAATATTAATAATTATTTTATTTTATTTTCAAAACTCATAAAAAATCCTGTTCTGCAACACTCGGTAATGATCGATATAAGAATAAACATAAACAATAAGCGCTAGCGATTATATTAGAATATTAACTACTCCCTAGTTCAATGTTCTTCCTATTATCTTCTATCCCAAATTGAAACATTCGACGTCATAAGGGGATATCACAAAGAAACTAAACGAGCTAAATGTAAAACTGCAAAGAAAGGAAAACCCAGCATATGCCTTGCTTGAAGAAATTTGTTTCGAAAAAAATCTTCATTTAGTTGAAGACACTGAGAGCAGTAAATTACTTTATTTCGAAAAATTTGAAAAAAAAATGTGATAAAACCAACGCTACTATTAACATGAATTACTTCATCATTATTATAAACAAAATGAAGGATTGTCCACTAAGAGATTTGAGTAATTCAAAAGAAATGCAAGTACTATGGCGTCAACATTCATGCGTGCAAGCGTTTTCTTGCATGAATACAAAGTATAGAAGCCAACTAACTAAGTAATAGAGGCATGCTTGAAATTGAAAAGTTATGAGCCAGGTTTAAACAAACTATCAAAAGGCATGCAAGGCCAAACTATTGTAAGTATTATTCAATAATTAAAGTTATTTAATTTGATTACTAATTTTATTATTCTAGCAGAGCTAGATAAATTACGTTAATATTTTTTCTGCGAAACATGTGTATGTTTTTATATGAATAAATATTATTTCATATTAAAATCTATTTATTTTAAATTATACATATATATATATATATATATATATATATATATATATATATATATATATATATATATATATATTTATATATATATATATATATATATATTCCTTATCAAAATTATAATATTGAAATAAAAATGTTAGCTGCTCTTTACAAACTTGGAAATTTGGTAAATTGTAACTTTTGTCTTCTCCGTATAATAGGGTTGCCGACCCCTGGTAATAGCTTAAACAAATTGTGGTCAAAAGTCAATAGAGTTTCATGAAGTTTATATTGGTTTAAAAATTTCCCTTTAAACGTATGGTTTTAGCAGATGCACTAAATTGTCTTAAAGTTTTTCCTTTAAACTTATTTTATTAGCAGGTGTTCTAGATCTCTAGAGAAAACTATTTTACTCTTTAATATTTAAACACGTTGATGTGTGTCTTAATGTAATTAAATTCAGTTAATGTATAAGAAGATGTACTCTAAAAAATAAGTATTAAATCGGTTGTTTCCCTTTATATTGAAAAATTAGAAACTGTAAAGATCTGGACTAAAAATGTGGGTTTGTATTTTGTGATCTTACAGACAAAATACAAGTACTCACAGAATAAACTCATTGGAATAGAGCTGCACTCTCCATCCCAACCTTGATGGGGCTGTCCTTACCCATACCCTATCGTTATTTGAGAGCCATCTATCTCAGTGTTTCTTTCAGACTTTTTTTCTCCTGGAGGGGGGAGGCCCTTTATATTTTCATGGTGGGGGGGGGGGGGCGGACTAAATTTTCCGGTGTGCGGACACTAAAAGTAAATATTTTCTATATAAATTTTCCATTTCGTTCGGGGAGGGGGGGGGGGGTAGGTTCCGTCCCACTGATCTCTCAAGTCCCACTCAACCCACAAACTATATACATACATTATATATATATATATATATATATATATATATATATATATATATATATATATTGTATACAGAACAAAAATTAAAGAAACCACATTAGTATTTTATTGTCAATGTATCAAAACTTTACATCACAAACTAAATGCGCTATGCATGTACATAGAGTCACACATTTTATTTGATCAATAAAAAAAAATTCAACACACAAGTAAGGACCAAGTCTGGACCAGGAAGTTTAAACCAATTTTAGAACGGCTGGGTTTGTTGTTGTGTTGTTGTTTTTTATGAAGGTACAAGCAACGTTCTCTCTAACGGGGAAATGCTAGGGTGCGTTTTTTTGTGTGCGCGGTATTCTAAAAATCTTATACAAGGATGTATGTATTTTACCAAATGACTGCGCGGCAGGTTCAAAACTACTGCGCAATAACACTTAGAGAAAACACTGGGTACAAGTAAATAAAGCTGCATTGATAACATTTTAAAATATTTAAGGGACGGGCGATGTTGAAATAGATACAGTACTAATTAATAATAAGACTCAATAATTAATTAAAACTTAATAATTGGGCAATAGTTGCGTGATACAAGTTATTTAGATAATATAATTAAATTATGCCATGTTTTAATTACTAGTTGTTTAAATTTTAGAATATTGGCACTACCGGCGTCTAATAGTAGATTCTTTAGAAAATAAGTGTAATTG